CTAAATTGCTTTAGGCGGTATGGACATTTTCATAAAACTTTTTCTTCCTATCCGTGGGTATGTAATCTTTTTCCATGTCTTTATATCATCTCTGATTTATTTCAGTGTTCTGTAATTTTTGTTGTAGAGATCTTTCACATCCCTGGTTAGCTAGATGCCTAAGTATTTTATTTTTTCTGTGGCTATTGTGAATTGGATTGCATTCTGGATTTTGGCTCTCATCTTGAATGTTGGTGGTGTATAGAAATGCTACTAATTTTTATACAGTGATTTTGTATCCTTATACTTTGCAGAAGTTGTTTATCAGATCTAGGAGCTATTAGGCAGTGATTATGGTGTTTTCTAGCTACAGAATTATATAATCTATATGCAGAGGTAGTTCGACTTCTCTTCGTATTTGGATGCCTTGTGTTTCTTTCTATTGCCTGATTGCTCTGGCTGGGACTCCCATTACTATGTTGTATGGGGTGGTAGGATTGGGCATCCTTGTCTTCTTCTGGTACTCAAGGGCAATGCTTCTAGCTTCTGCATGTCTAGTATGATGTTGGCTATGTGTTGGTCATAGAAGGCTTATTAATTTGAGGTATGTTCTTTAAAAGCCTGGTTTGTTAAGGATTTTTAATATGAAGGATGTTGAATTATATCAAAATTTTTTCTGCATTTATTGAGCAGATGATGTAGCTTTATTTTAGTTCTGTTTATGGGATGAATCACATTTATTGATTTTTGTATGTTGAACTACCATCCCATCCCAGGGATAAAGCCTACATGATAGTGGTGGATTAGCTTTTTGATGTGGTGCTGGATTTGGCTTGCTAGTATTTTGTTTAGGATTTTTGTATCTATGTTCATCAGGAATATTGCCCAGAAGTTTTAAGTTTTATATTTTTGCTGTGTTTCTGCCAGGTTTTGGTATCAGAATGACACTGGCCTCACAGAATGATTTAGGAAGAAGTACCTCATCCTGAATTATCTGGAATAGTTCAGTAGGAATGATATCAGCTGTTTCTTATATATTTGGAGGAATTTGCCTGTGATTCCAACTTGTCTTGGTCTTTTTTCTGGTTGGTAGACTTTTTATTAGTGATTCACTTTTGGAACTCATTATTTTTCTCTTCAGTGATTTAATTTCTTCCTGGTTCAACTTTGGGATAAATATATTTCCAGGATAAGTATATTTCCAGGAATTTATTCATTTCCTCTAGGTTTTCTAGTTTGAATGCATATAATTTTTTCTAATAGTGTCTGCGGGTTTTCCATATTTCTCAGGGATCAGTTGTAAAGTCCATTTTGTCATTTATGATTATGTGTATGTCTTCTCTTTTTTATTAGTGTAACTAGAAGTCTATCAGTCTTATTTAGTCTGTCAAATAACCAATTAATAAGTGTGTTAATCTTTTGCATGGTTTTTCACCTCCCAGTTTCATTCTGTTCAACTCTGTTTTGCATTATTTAATATTTTTCTGCTAGCTTTGGGGTTGTTTTCTTCTTCTTTCTCAATTCCTCTAGTTGCAATAATGGTTCTTATTTTGAGATGTTTAATTTTTTGATGTGCGTGTTTAACACTGTAAACTTTATTTTTACCAATGTTTTTGCTGTGTTCCAGAGATTCTCATATGTTATATACTTGTTCTTATTAGCTTTAAAGGATTTTTTGATTTCTCTCTTAATTTCATTGTTTACCCAAAAGTTATTCAGTAAGAAATTTGTTTAATTTCCATGTAATTATATGGTTTTGAGTGTTTTTTTAGCATTAATTTCTACTTGTATTACACTGTGGTTTAAGAGTGTGGTTGGTATAATGTGCTGTGTGCCGATGAGAAGAGCGACTATTCTCTTGTTTGGGGTAAGAGTTCTGTAGATGTCTGTTAGATCCATTTGGTCAAGTGTCAAGTTCCAGCCCCAAATATTTTTGTTAGTTTTCTGCCTTAACGATCTAATGTGTGATGTTGAAGTTTCTCACCATTATTGTGTGGTTAGTCAAGTTTCTTCAGTGAGCTCTAAGAACTTGGTGTTTTGAATCTGAGTGCTCTTTTTCTGGGTAAATACATATTTAGGATTGTTAGATTTTCTTGTTGAATTGACCTCTTTACTATTGTGTAATGCCCTTCTTTGTCTTTTTTTTTTAATCTTTATTGTTTTAAAGTCAGCTTTTTCATTTTTCTGAAATTCAAATATGATACATGCTTTTTTTGTTTTCCATTATGCTGGTAGATTTTTCTCCATTACTTTATTTGAGCCTATGGGTGTCACTGATTGTGAGATGGATCTGTTGAAGACAGCATAGAGTTGGGTACTATTTCTTAATCCAACTTGCCACTCTGTGTCTTTTAAGTGTGTATTTCATCCGTTTACATACACAGTTGATGTTAATACGTGTGGATTTTATTCTGTTATCATGTTGTTAGCTGGTTATTATACATACTTAATTATGTGCTTGCTTTATAGTGTCAGCGATTCAGGTAATTATGTGTGTTTTTTGTGGCAGCTGCTAATGGTCTTTCTTTTTCATATTTATTATGCACTTCAGGACCTCTTGTAAGTCAGGTCTTGTAGGTCTAGTAGGTCTTTGAATTCCCTTAGCATTTACTTGTCTGAAAAGGATCTTATATCTCTTTTGCTTATGGAGCTTAGTTTGGCTGGATATGAGAGTCTTGGTTGAAGAGCGCTGAATATAGGCCCCCAGTCTCTCTGACTTGCACGCTTTCTGCTGAGTGGTCTGCTCTTTGTTAGCCTGATAAATGGGGTGCTCCTTATAGGTGATCTGTCCCTTCTCTGTCTTTTTCTTTCATTTTGATATTGGAGAATTGTGTGAATATTTGTCTTAGGAATGGTCATCTTGTGCAGCATCTCAAAGAGGTTTCCTGCATTTCCTGAATTTGAATGTTGTCTTCTGTAGCAAGTTAGGGAAATTTTCATGAATAATTTCCTTAAATATGTTCTTCAAATTGCTTGGTTTCTTTTCTCCTCTTTTGGGAATGCCAGTGAGTCATAGATTTGATTTCTTTACATAATTCCATATTTTTGGAGGTTTTGTTCATTCTTTATTATTATTTCTATATTTTTGTTTGATGGAGTTATTTTGGAGAACCAGGCTTCAAGATCTGAGATTCTTCCCACGGTTTGGTTGATTACTCTGTTAATACTTGCAGTCTTATTCTGAAATCCTTGAAATGATTATTTTCACCTGCATCAGACTAGTTTGGTTCTTTCTCAAAATGACAATTTCATCTTTCAATTCCTGTATAATTTTAATGTATTCCTTAGATTCCTTGGATTATGTTTCAACTTTCTTCTGAATCTTGATGATCTTTTCTTCTATCCATATTCTGAATTCTGTGTCTGTCATTTCAGCCATTTTAGACTGGTTAATAACCACACTTCCTTAAGAAGTAAGAAGACATTCTTTTTTTCTGAGCTGCCAGAGTGCTTGTGCTATTTTTTCTTATCTATATGCCGATGTTCCTTCAGTCTTTGAAGTTGCTGTCCTTTGGATAGGATTTTTGCTTTTATCTCCTTTGATGCCCTTTGGGGTTTGATTGTGGTATAAAGTGGGTTCAGTTTACTGGCTTTGTTTCTGAAAGATTTCAGGAGGCCGAGGCTCAGCTCAGCACTCCTGGTCTACATGGTTTAACCCTGCGGGGACTGGTACCCTGCCTTTCAGCTTTTTCTGTGGCCCCTTAAGGTTAGAAACATGCTGTGCCTGAAGGCCTGAGGTGATTCTCCTGGCCACAACACTGTAATGGGTGGTGCCAGCCAAAATGCTTTCTAGGGGTGGTGGCAGTGGGTTCCATGCTCGCCTGTGCCTACCAGGAGTCACAGTAGCATAGCAGAGTATAGGTACTTTGCCTAGGGTAGGGTACTGGCAGGAGTGGATTTTGGCATTTCTGTGTGTGCTCGTGCTAGCAGGAGCAATGATAGAGTGCTGGTCGGGGCCGGGCCACCATTGTTCCTGTGCACATTAACACTGGCAGTGGCAGCTGCACCAGGGGCAGGGCTTAGGGTTGGGGATGCTGGACTCTGAGTGAGCATTCACATAGGTAATGATGACATGGCCAGTGCCTGCACATAATCAGGCAATGAGCAGGGCATTAGTTGTCCTTCCACCTGCAGCAATGTTTGGTGGGGTCTATGCATAGATGAAGGCTGGCAGAGTGTGGGGAGTAAGCCCCCCTGTGTGTGCCAGCAGAGCAATGTGGGGATGGCTGTGGGCAAATGTGAATGGCAAGGTAGTGGGGGAAGGCTGCAAAGGGAGAAGGGTAGGTTACGGAAGGCTGCAGGTAGGCTGGCACATGTTGGCAGTGGCTGGTCTACTGAAGCTCTCTGATGATCATGTGTGATATTCTGGTAAAACAACTATAATGAGAGCACTGAGAAGCAACCTGATTGGTCATCCAAAGCTGTGCTGCAAGTGGACAGTGCCAGGCTGGGGCTGCAGGAGAAGCAAGTGGACAGGAGAACACTCAGATCAGATTGACCCTATCTCACAGGCAAGGCCACCCTGCTCATTCTAAATCCAATAGTCACTTATGGGTAACATCTCCTGTAGGAGCATGTCAAGCCTTAGGGGTTGGGCATCCTTGTCTCTACTGCACTCCTGACATTCCAACATTAAGCTCTGTGGACTACATACGGGCCAGACTCCCATCCCTATAACCTCTCTAAGCAGCTCTCCCTGCCATCTCATGTGTCTGTGAGGGTCATCAGGTCTCCTGCAGCTAAGATTCTGGAAATCTGTGGTAAGCATGTTCCATTCCATGCCTTTTCAGCTTACCTTCACTAGGAGTTGCTGGAGGGCAGGAATCAGTCCTGGTGCTCGCTAGCCCCATACAGAGTTTCCAGCTTTCTCCCTTTGCAGCTCAGCATCCATGTCCTCCCTCCACCCACTCTCAATGCCTTCCCTTAAAAGACCTGCTCAGAGTGTGCCAATCTTCCCAGTGTTCCTCCGGGCTTTGTCTAATTGGCTATCTTGGCTTTCTCCCCTTCTCTTGTAAATCTAGATTGACCTGTGAGTGCTTCACCAATGAAATGCAGTGGAAGTGATGGTGTGGCAACTTCCAGGCAACTCTTGAAAAGGACTGGCAAAATTGGCTTCGACTCTATTGGAAAGCTGCTTCTTGTGATACTGGCTCTCAGAACCCAGATTCCATTTCGTGAGAAGCACAAGTCACATGCAGAGGCCATGAAGACAAGCTAAGATTATGGTCTAGATTCGTAGCTACATGCTCAGTGATTGCCTGTACAAATTGACAGTCCTGTGAATGAGTCATTTTGGTTGTCCAGCTTGTCAAGGACTCAGATGACTCCAGCCTTCTCTGTAATTCCAACGACATGAGGGGCCCTAAGCTAATACTTACTAGTTGATCCCATCCAACTCCAGAGATGTTAAACATAATAGGAAAATTTAATTTGTAAATTTGGGGAATAATTTAATATGTAGGAAAACATAACTAGGATGGGTATCTTTAAAGCCACTTGCTTTCATGGGTGTCTTCTCAGGACTCCATATTTAATTTTTATATTAAAAACTTTGTATTGTTCGCCATGAGGAGGTCCCCTCCAATTATATAAGCTTCAGAAACCCAGGATTTGCCCACTCTCTTACTTTCTCTAACCTCTCTTCTCTCCGACTTTCTAGTCTGCTTTTCTCATTCTCTCTTTACCCAACCCTGTACCCACCTTTTGAATAGGCCTTGCTAATTTAGAAAATGCCATTACTTTGTTGTTTTAAAATATGCATCCCAATGAAGTTATTTACTTTAATCTTTGATCTCTTTGTTGGTTGCTTACTGGAACTGAATTCTAGATCCCTGTCTTTAGAGAAAACAACATGTTCCCATATGGTTGTGGAACAGATTAGAAAAGAAATTCCATGTATATTACTTAACACATGGTCTTGTTTGTAATTTACAATACATACTCATTAAACATTTACTTCTATTTTCTCAGTTCTGTCTTCAATATTGTCTCAATTGATGACTGCCTTGCAGAGTGGCATTGATGCCTGAAATTTACCCTATTCTCTGCCCTGGTTACTGAAAAAAAAAAAATCTTCACTTGATTGTTGTTCCTGGAGCTCATTAAGCTTAAGCCTTCCAAGGACCAGAATTTGATTACCACATTAAAAATGAATTCTCTGGTGGTTGTTTTAAGATGTTACTTCTAAACAATAGCGTGTTTAATTAACACAATTTATATCAAGTCACACAGATACTTTATACATTCTCACACTGTGTAGCATATTTACCCAAAATAGACAACCTAATTACTCAAAAAAATTGGCTGTATTTGCAGAACTGTAGCATTATAGGAAAAATGAAATGCAATTATGAAACAGAGAAGAATGGGAAAATACAAAATTCTTGCTATTTTTATTTTGTTTTAAAAAATGTTAATTAAGTTATAGAGTTCACAAGTACTATAGAGTTTAGCACAAGTGAATGAATAAGTCTTCTCAACATGGATAAATGGAAGGATTTATCTTTTACAACTTATTATCTTAAATTCATAAATTCTAAGAAATTGCTGCTGAGTAGTCAGAACACATTAACAAAGGCAGCACTTTGTCTCATTCACACAGGGAAGCTGGGTGCTGAATAAAGACAGTAAACTTGTTGCGAAGCCATTTAATAAATTTGGAAGATACAGGATTAACTTAATTATTATCAACACAAATTTCTTAGAATTAAATAAGAGGATGGTATTAAAGTTAACTTCTCTCTCTGGTGGCATTTGCGTTTCTACATTTCTAAAGCAAAGTCCTTAGGGAAAAAAGAAGTAAAGGAATGGAAGAAAAGGCTTTATAAATGTAAAGATAACCATATTTTCCCACAGAGGTCAACCAATGAAATGATAATTTTAAAATTCTATTTTTTTTTTTACTTGAAGCTTTTGTGCTGGATAGAGATCTTTTATTAATTCTGACCAAGTAGTGACCAGAGGGCAAGTAAGAATAACATAAGAAGCAAATATAAATCTCTTTTATATTCTCACAAATATTTATTTATTTTTTTGCAGTGCACTATGCTTGTTATTAAGAAGGTTACAATGAAGAAATAATTAGTTTCTCTCTTTATAAACTTGTTTGTATACTAGTACACAGATATATTAATGAATGGTATGATAATGGAGTAAATGTTACAACAAAATAGACATGTGTTCAAAATGCCATAAGAACATAGTGGAAAAACATCAAATCTAATCTGGCAAGGAGGTCATGATGACTGAAATGGCACTTGACTGAATCTGGCCATTTCTATATATGGTGCCCCAACCAATTATTGACAAATAGTGAGTACTCAGTAAGTGTATATTAAATCAACAAATGGAATGATAAAAGGTTTTTAAAGAGGAGAATACCATGGAAGGATGATACAATAACACAAAATGTTGAGTTGTCTGTTCAGATGCATATAAATTAGAGATCACATTCAGTGTTAAGTTTTAGTAATAACTTCAAGGACAAAGCTAATCACACATTATGGAGCAGCTACACTTCTTCTCAAGTTCTTCTTCACCATATTAGTTGTGCCCTGAACCAAATTCAACATGCAAGTGGAACATCATCACTCAATTTTGGGTAAAAATCCCTAGTTTATACTCTAATAATTGTATAGCTTAAATGATACTTTTTACTTATAAAACTATACATTTCAGTTTAACTTATTTGACTTAAGCAATCAGAATGGTCCTGGTACATCATGTAAATGCATTTTATAGATAGGGACATTCACAATAGTGAAGACTAACAGGATATGGAGGCTTCCTTTGTATGGAGTCTGTTAGTAGCATGTTAACGAAGGAATTTGGCAAAGTTATCTTAATTTTCTGGTTAGATTAGGGATGAAATAGACTGTAGGTTGGTATAAACACTCTCTTTTTTAAATGGGAAAATCAAAGAGATAGATTAAGATGGTTTATTAATGTCTTTTTTTTGGTCATATTTATTTGAGGAATTGTCTCTGAAATGAGAGCCACACGAATGCAAATCCTGACTTCACAATCTTGGTTAAGTTATTTAAGCTTTCTCAGTAATGATTTTCCAATTTCTAAATTGCGAGAAATAAAAAAACAAAACTCACAGCATTGCAATGACAAATAAATAAGGTAGCAAACACTGAGCCTGATGCCAAGCCTATATTAGATGCTCAATAAATACTTTTCTCACTTCACATTTCCCCCTGGATTTCTACTTCTCTCACCCAGAGGTAGTGGATAAACCATGAGGGTGCTCATTCAATAAATCCACTGTTTCATAGTGTGGTCGTTTCAAGGTCTGTTTTCTTCTCCATACTTTAATATTCCACATATCACCCAACTCATTAGTCATATTTAAATTTGAAAGTTTTGATTCTTAAACCAGATTAAGAGCTTTATGAATACTGAACCATGTCCAAGGTGTCTTTTATTTCTCCAAATTTGTGGTGTAATACCATAGGCACAAATATTGCCAATTTAATACTGCCTGATTAATCGTTGATGGGTAAGTTGTAACTCAATAATTAAAGTGAATATCTAGTTCAACCCAGCTCTGGTAAAAAGGACATTTATTAATGATAAAGAAAATCAGTCTTTATTTTCTCTATACCATACATTATAACCTTTTGTATTACAAAATTTGAAACTTATTGAGAAGTTGAAAGGATAGTACAAAAAACTTTTAATGTTTTGAGGATAGAGGTACCATTCCCTAAAAACAAGGACCTTCTCTACCAAAACTACAAGAGAATAATCAAAACCAGGATATTTATCATTGATACAATGCTGTTATATAATTCTGGTGCATATTCATTTTGTAAAAACCTCTCAATAGTACTTTCAGTACTGTCTCTCATCACCACTGTCATCTTGGCCGTAGCTCAATCTGAGGATTTCCTGAAATTAGCATCAGATTAGCCACTTCAGTTGAATGGAACATACCCTTAGCACTTTTCTAGCTTTTGTAGCTTTGAAAATTTTTGAAAGACATAAGCCATATACAATATCCATTAATCTAGGTGTGTCTGATATTTCCTAATGATTATATTTAGGTTAGAGACTTTTGGGAGAAATACCACAGAGACATTGATATCCTTTAGTGGACCATCAGTACAAATAGAATGTCATTCTGTATTTGTTCATTTTCATGCTGCTAATAAAGATATACCCAAGACTGGTCAATTTATAAAAGAAAGAGGTTTAATGGACTTACAATTCCACATGGCTGGGGAGGCCTCACAATCATGGTGAAAGGCAAGGAGGAGCAAGTCACATCTTACGTGGATGGTAGCAAAGATAGAGAAGTTTTGCAGGGAAATTCCCCTTTATAAAACTGTCAGATCTCATGAGACTTATTCATTGTCATGGGAACAGCATGGAAAAGACCTGCCCCACATAATTAAATTACCTCCTACTGGGTCCCTTCCACAATACATGGGAATTCAAGATGGGATTTGAGTGGGGACACAGCCAAACCATATCATTCCATCCCTGGCCCCTCATAAAGCTCATTTCCTCACATTTCAAAATCAATTATGCCTTCCTAACAGTCCCCCAAAGTCCTAAATCATTTCAGCATTAACTGAAAATTCCACAGTCCAAAGTCTGATGTGAGACAGGGCAAGTCCCTTCCGCATATGAGCCTAGAAAATCAAAAGCCAAGTAAGTTACTTCCTAGATACAATGGGGGTACAGGCATTGGGTAAATACACCCCTTCTAAATGGGAGAAATTGACAAAAACAGAGTGGCTACAGGCCTCATGCAAGTCCAAGATCCAGCAGTCAAATCTTCAAGCTCCAAAATAATCTCCTTTTACTTCATGTCTTACATCCAGGTCACAGTGATACAAGAAGTAGGTTTCCATAGTCTTGGGCAGCTCTGTCCCTGTGGCTTTGCAGTTACAGCTTTCCTCCTGCTGCTTTCATGGTCTGGCATTGAGTTACTATGACTTTTCCAGGTGCACGGTCCAACCTGTCAGTGGATCTATCATTCTGGGGTCTTGGGGACAGTGGCCCTCTTCTCACAGCTCCACTAGGCAGAGTCCCAGTGGGGACTCTGTGTGGGGGCTTCAACCCCACATTTCCCTATTGCACTGCTGTAGCAGAGGTTCTCCATGAGAGCCCCGCTACTGCAGCAAACTTCTGCCTGGACATCTAGGTGTTTCCATTTATATTCTGAAATCTAGACAGAGGTTTCCAAACCCCCACTTGATTTCTGTGCACTTGCAAGCTTGACAATACATGGAAGCTGCCAAGGTTTGGGGTTTGCACCCTCTGAAGCCATGGCCTGAGTTCTACATTGGCCCCTTTCAGCCATGGTTGGAGTGGCTGGGATGTAGGGTACCAAGTCCATGGGCTGTACACAGTAGAAGGACCTCGGGTCCAGCTCACAAAACCACTTTTTCCTATTAGGCCTTTGGGCCTGTGATGGGAGGGGCTGCCATGAAGGCCTCTGATATGCTCTGGAAATACTTTCCTTACTGTCTTGGGGTTTAACATTGGGCTCCTCATTACTTATGCAGATTTCTGCAGCTAGCTTGAATTTCTCCCCAGCAAATGGGATTTTCTTTTGTACTGGATGGTCAAGCTGCAAATTTTCTAAACTTGTATGCTGTTTCCTTATATAACTGAATGTATAACCTTATAGCCTTTATATAACAGTACTCAAGTCACCTTCTAATGTTTTGCTCCTTAGAAATTTTTACTGCTAGTTACCCTAAATCATCTCTCTCAAGTTCATAGTTCCACAGATCTCTAGGGCAGGGGTAAAATGCTGCCAGTTTCTTTGCTAAAACATAACAAGGGTCACATTTGCTCCAGTTCCCAACAAGTTTCTCATCTCCACCTAAGACCA